ACTCCGACATGTGCACATGAAGATAGATCCATGTCATGTTTTATCAAAAGAGAACAAGAATATATATTTACATAAATTATGGATTTGCCAAAGTCTTTTATGTGTTTATGCACTTCTTTACGAAATTGTTAGAGCATTTAAAAATAGTTAAAGCCTACAATACTTGACAATTTTTGACACACAAGTTAGCTAAATTGCCCACTGTGCTGGCAGCAGCAGAAACTGTGCTGCAAGCTGCTTTTGCTGCCACAAACTCAACTGCGGCCGTTCGTCCGGATGTTGCACAACTTTTTAAGCAGCTTGCTTTAATTTCTCCTGCTGTCACATGATCTCGCCGGCTCCGGACTCCAGCCGGGCGCAAGCTGAGCCGGCAGCTGCGCGGCGCGGCGCAGCACGTCTAAAGCCTGTGAAATGTTTTTATGCGAATTTTATTACATTTAGCGCGGGTGGTTGGGCGGTGGATTGGGCGGGGTGCGGCGGGGGCGGCTTAAAGCCTTGGCCCCGACGCTGGCTGAAAATTTCATTATTGACTTTTGGCGCATGAATGTTGAAATCAGCTTGAGGCATTTCAATTTTTGGCAAAGTTTGAAGTTTTTATGCAGCTGCTGCTTGCTTGGCTTTTTTTCTCAACAGTTTTCATTTAGTGTTTATAATTTGCGTATCAAATTGAGCGCCCAAAATGGGGACATTCAGGCCAGAAAAAGAGAGAAAGAGAGAGAGAGAGAGAGAGAGAGAGAAAGAGAGCGAGAGGTTGAGGGAGACAGACTAAATTACGCTATCCCAGTTGATGCTGTTGCTGATGTTGATAAAGTGCCTCGAGGCAGTTGATTTATGTGCGGGCTCTGATCGAAGCGTGGTAAAGAGACAGCTGGAGAAGGCATGGGCGAAATGGCCAGGATGGGGACAAAACAAAGCCCCAAAAGGTTGTGCCACAGCGGCGGCCATTCAACTGCAGGGATTAATGAGCCGCTGTGTAGCAAACCACATTGGGATTTTTGAGGCCTGTCCGTGTCCATTTGACAACATGTTGTTGGCTTTTACTTTTTCTGTTGTCTTGCCATAGACAACATTTGCAGTGCTTTGCATGCCAAGCGGATGGACAGAAAAAAAAAACAGAACTATATAAAGCTCTATGCGGATGCAGGAGGCCAGCCGCAGGCCACAGGTCGACAGCCCAAGTCCGACAGGATGTGCTGGCTGTCTAACTGTCTGTATGTGTGTGTGTGTGTGTGTGTGTGTGTGGGAGTCGCCACGGCCGGTGGCAAAAATTAAATTATGACAGCAAATGAACGAGCGACGATGAGCAGCAGCAGCAGCAGCAGGACACGGCCAGGCCACGCTGAAGGAGGCTGCTTGCTGAGCCGGATATGCTGAGCCGTTGTCCTCGCTGCTGTTACGCTGCCTAATAATGAAATACATGAATTTTGTAGACAATAATCGCAGAGGCTTAGCTGCGATTATAATAGGCAGCAGCAGCCGGAATAATGAAGCAGGTGAAACCTTTTGCGGCCTGCTCTCTGAGGCCTGCATTTGAGGTGAAGCTTAAAGCTGCCGTATTGCAAACTTTCAAGATTAAATGGAATTCAAGAGAACTCAAATTTATATTTGCTTGTCTCCTTAAGCTTGAAGAGTGTGCCATTAAAAGTGTATCGCTTGTGACAGTTCAGTTGTGTTCCTAACATATTATTTTAGGCTCACTTGTTATTAGTTTACTTATTTATTTATTAACCCATGCATACACTTACTCCTCATAATAAATATTTCTAAATGAAAACAGAGGAAGCGAAGCAAATAAGTTCATTTTGTAAAGCAGGAGATCTTAAAGCTTACACACATTTTTCTTATGTATCTAACATACATATCTCATAGTTTAAAATCAGTTAAAAGTTTAAATATAGATTTTACCCAACTTCTATATCTGTCACTGAGCTTATGTTTGTGGCATATTATGTTTCACATAGAATTTAAATTATTTTCCCATTTTCAAACATTTGCGCATGTCATATGCGTATCTTGTTTCTAATTGCAAAATTTTATCTAATTCAATTTATGTTTATCACGCAAAATTTAATTGAAATAATTTATGAAAGCCTCAATTGTAGTTGCATTTTTGTTGTGCTAATATTTATATAATCGTTTGGCATGGAACTGCGTTTGAAATTATAAATATTTATTGTCATAATTTTCTAATCAATTGTTGTTGATTTAACTAAACTGTACTCGCCAAGGAGAGCTGCATAAACAAACATTAAATTCAATTAGGGCGCCTAATGACCCACATGGCAAAACAATTTATTTGCTTCAATAAAATACAAACAACAACAACAACATGGAAAAAGATTTACAAGCCAGAAAATGCAGTTTTTGCAAACAATTTTCCCAAAGGACTAATTGGCAGCTTTCACAGCGGAAAATTCTATTTGACTAGATAAACAAAAATGCAGTTTTTGCAGTTTGCCTCAAAACTATGCGATTCAATATCAATTTTGCCCATTTAATTGAGAAAATCAAACGTTGTCTTTGAAGTTCAGATTTTTTTGCACAGCGTCCTGGCATTTGCTCTTAAATTAAATATACAGTTTATAACTAAATTAATTCGATATGCAGTTAAGTTGCAATCAAATGCTTCGTATGAGGCACAAAATATTTCATTTTGGAATTTCGGTATGTGAAGCATGCTTTTACCAGAGACAATTTTATGTATTTTTAGGCTTTTATTTTTGCACTAAACAACTAAATTGGAGCATTTAATTTTATTGTTTGTTTTGGGTTTGCAAATTTGTATACCCTGTACGCATGGATGATGGAGAAGGCTATCTGCGATCCCATAAAGCACGTGTCCGTCTGTCCGTCTATCCGTCTGTGTGAAATCATTAATACTACAAAATAAATCTATATTCACCTGATAACTCCGACTATTTTTATGATATCGATAAATATCGATTTTGAGTTAAAGTTCTTTAAGCATAACTCGCAGATTATCAGAGTCTTATATTACAAACTTGGTATATGAGTTCTCTTGGGATACATACTCATTCCATATTCGCCCTAGTCCTGCCATAATTGAATGATACTCTTTTTTAAAGGAAAAGCCATATCATTAATATGACATTATATGGTATATTTTTATATATTTGAACAGCCGTAGACTATCAATAAAGCATGTGCCATAGTAGAATGGCAACTCTATGTACAGGGTATTTCCTAGTCGTTCACTCCCGATTCGAGCACTGCTACTTGTTATTTATTGTTGTTGTCTGCGTAAATTTCGATTTTTCAATGCATTTTCTTAGCAAATAATTTAATTTGTCTCTAAAAATTAAATCGAGATATTTTTAGCTTTGACTGCAAAGAAAAAACAACGTTTTGTTCTATTTTTTTGAAATGAAGCACATTCAAGCCCAAATTGAAGTATTTGCGTCATCTATCATCTATTGATGCGAATTAAGACAAAATGACTTCAAAGACGTGTCGAATATTAAATACTCTTGCTGTTCTTTCAAGAAGAAAAGAATCTCAGCTAGGAACCCAAATCTTGTTAATAGCGCACAGTTAATTCAGATAAATAATAAATATAAATATATATCATAAGTATATATACCATATATATACTACTTAAAAATAAAGCATAAAGCAATGTTAACTAAAGTTTTATTTTTTCTCAAATACCCACGTTATAAATTTATTGTAAATTTTTCATTAGTAGCAGCTGCTCGTGTTGTTATGAAAACTAAGTTAGCTAAACTTGTTCATAAATATGGCTTAAAAAGTGAAATGCCTTAAATAAAAGTCAAAGCCAATTAATATAATTGTTTTTAGTATCTTTTGCAGCTGCTGTCGTTGCCTGTGGCAAGTAGCAAGTAGCAAGAGGCAAGCGGCAAGTAGCAAGTGCAAATTTGCTGAGGGCGCAGAATGAATCCAATAAAGAAATTACGCCAGACAACGCTGCCGCCAAGGACAACGCCTCGCTAAAATGTAATGCCAGCTAAAAGAATAAGAAGAAGCAGCGGCTTTTTTCTCAAATGTTTGTTGTTGTTGTTGCTCGTGTTGATGTCGCCAATTGTTTGGCTTTAATATAATGAGCTGAATATAAAGTATGTCTGATGGCAGGCCACAAAAATTGTTTATTCTTAGACGTCGCATGAATAATTTAAAAAGATATCGTTAACGGGCTGTGTGTGTGTGTGTGTGTGTGTGTGTGTGTGTGTGTGTGATGTCATGGCATGTGCGTATGTGTCTGAAAATTAGTGTGTGCTCGTTAATAGATATGCTGAGGGTCATTAAACGTTTGATTTGGCAGGTTTGACCTGGCCCCAAAACATATAAACATCACATGCATTCAACTGCCTGAGGAAGGTGGAAGGCTGCGTCCTGCCACATGCCACCTGCCACCTGCCGCCTGCCACCTGCCATCTGCCACCTGCTACGTGCTGATATCAAGAAAAAACTTGTTGGCAAAATAAACTTTTGTTCCACAGGCGCAGGATAGGGACTGTTGGTGAGAGAGGATGTCATTCTGGCATTTTTTTGCTGACTTAAGCCAAATTGACACAGATCGAATAACTGTCTCGATTGCCGGCAGCACTTTGTGGCAGCTGTAAAACTCTTTTGAAGAATAAATACAAATTTAATGGAAAGTGTACAAGAAAAAATAAAAGCCTAACTTCCAGCGAAATTTTTAATGAAAATATCTGTTGTCAATAATGTGCGCACATATAGAATTGCCAACTAGAGTCAAGAATATTTGATGCATATGGCTTTCTAGCTGAAGATTATTAAGACCAAAATAGATGGGCAAATAAATATGAAAAGAAAAGGAAAGCAAATGTTCCAAGGTTTTCGATAATTGAGAAATAATACAATATTTTAAGCAAAAGCTCGATTTTCATCTAATTTCTTCTCTGAAACTGACAGAATACTCTCTGAAACTGAGCACGAAGTAAAATAATAACAAATGTTATATAAAAACTCAATTTTCCACTATAAACTCTCTGAAACTGAAAGACTTCTTGGACTATTAAACTTCACAACAAAATTCGAAAACTCTCTGGAACTCTCTGGATATCGCAACAATGTAAAGTAAGTCTTCGACGATTGAGATATAATAAAAAATATTATATAAAAGCTGAAATTTGGACTAATAGTTTCTCTAAAATGAAGAGGCATAATTGGCGTATAAGTGAACAGTGAGTGTTGCTTTTAATATTACAGTTTACTATAAAATTCAAATCCTTTTTGTAGGTTGACAAATCAGAGATGTGATATGTCTCTGTCTAAGTGGCGCATCCTTTACATCGTTTGCTTTAATCATAGTCTGAGCATTTTATCTACGCAATTAGTAACATAAGTGACGCCCACTTAAATTGTTGGCCATCAGGGCGTGGCCATAAAGTGTGCTACTGAGTGCAGTTGCTGCCTGTCGCCTTGTTGTTGTTGCAACTTTAATTGCGCAACATTTTGAGCGAAAGTTTTTCATCAATTTTCAGTTTGCACTTAACCAAAAGCACGCAACAACTGCAAAAATCTCAAATGCAAAACTGTGCCACTTATGGGGCATATTTTATGCGACTGTTGTTGTTGTTGTTTTTGTTGCAAGCTGCTGTTGCAAGTAGTTGAAGCAAGAACAACAGCTGAGCGGCGCGCACATCAATAAAACGAAAATTGCAGCGAAAATGGCGCGCAATTGTCGCAGCTAGCACGAAGGGCTGCTGGCGCAGAGAGGGAAGAGTGGCTAGGGAGGGCAGCCTGTTTGCCTGTCGATGGGCGTGGCGGTGCCACAACGGCGGCTGCTGCGCTGCGCTTAGTAAAAACAATCGAAATTATAGCAAACAAGCGCGTAAAGTTTACGCTTTCACTGCGGCGATGTGTGTGTGTGTGTGTGTGTGTGTGTGTGTGTGTGTGTGTGTGTGTGTGGGCTGAGTGTAGGTGTGTGTGTGTGTGTGTCAACACACGCTTGGCTGCAGTTTTATTGGTTTAGTTGTTGTTGTTGCGGCTGCTGCGGTGGTTGCCACTCGACAGCGTCATTTAAATTGCTCGACAAAAAGCGACGCGCAACTGCCAGCCTAATGCCAATACACACACACACACGCACACACACACACAGGCGCGCACACACACATATTTAGGTTTCACATGTTTACATGTGTGTTTTTGTATTTTTTATCTGCGCTTTATTGTTGTCTCTTTTGCTGTTGCTGGCGCGCAAATTCTCTCGTTTGCGTGCAAATTTTCGTAGCATACTTTTTAGGGCCAGCCACAACAAAATGTGTGCCAACAAAAGTCGCTGGTTGCTGTTGCTATTGTTATTGTTGTTGTTGTTGTTGTTGTTGTTTGTTATTAGTTGTTTTTGTTTTGGGTTTGCATTTGTTATTGGCTCTGATCATTGCCAGCCACATAAATGCGAACGAATGCAGACTCGCCTCTATAGACAAAATCTAATGTGCGCTTTTTCAAGTGCGTTCAGGCAGACAAAACTGCAATTAGCTGCCGGAGCCTGTTTTGATAACAAAAAACCCCCGCCCCCGTTCTGCCAGGCCCTGCTGTACTCAACCTTTTTAAACGCCATTTACACAACCCGTTTGACGTGTGTATTTTGGGTCGCCAGGCAGTATTATTTGTGTGCGGCCATAATTACATGTAAATTATGACCACATGTACAAAACGTTTGCTTCATTTATAAGCATTTTTATGCGGTTAATTGGACAGCAGCCCCTAGCCTTGCTCGCCTCCCCGTCTTCCTCACTCGCTTTTCTAATCGAAAACCTTTTTTAGCAAACGTGTTTCCAAGTAATTTCTTTTACAAAACACACACAATCATTGACTTTAGCAGTCAGATATATACACACGCATATGTTTCTTGTGCAGACAAACATGCATATGGCTTGTTGTCTAGGGTATGGTTAGGCATAGGGGGCAGGGGCAGAGGGAAAGGGGCAGGAGGAGGTTGGCTCAGCTCATTAACGTACATGAAATCGAGCAGCATGGAAAAACGCAACCTTTTGTAATACTAATTAATACGAAAATAACATGTGCCCGCCGCGCCAACAGCTATATGAACCGAATCCAATAAAAAAAAGAAATAAATAAAGTGTGCTCGACACTTAAATACCCTATATTAAGAGTGCTTAGGTGCATATAAAAAACGTAATAATACCCTCTATTTCTATTGTGTATTATCACAGCCCTAATATTATCCCGAGTAACTCTTGTGCCTATTCTGCGATTGACCAGACACCTAGATCCATAATATGCTCTGATCTGCTGATTGCAGGGTATATGAAAGGAGAAGAAGGTTACTCTACCAAATGTATATACAGCTCAAAGTGCATACAATCTCATGGTATATTCGTTGCAGGGTATGTGACAGAAGTCGAAAAGCTTGAAGACAATTTCCCCTCATTATTTGGTATATCAATTACGTATTTTATGCCAAATAGACTCTCCACATTGTGATTATGCGACTAACAAGTGCATGCAACCCGCGCGACCTCTTGGTCCGCAGGGTATGCGAGCAAGAAGAAGACGTAGATGGGTTGTCAATTTGCGTCTCTTGCCGAGCATTCACTTGCCGCAGCCAATTTGCGAAATGTGTCCACATTGCGTTTTCATTGTATTAAAAATTCCATTAGCTGCAAATTGTGCGCATTAATTAAGGCCACAACAGCTGATGGCATATTGTCCAAATGAAGCTCAGTTCAGCTCAGCTCCACGAAAAAAAAAAATAATGTAAACAAAAAAAACAAAAAAGAGAAGAAAATTTCTTGATTTGCGTCACTTACCGAAAATGCGTCCAGCTTCGATAGATGGCACTGTTGTTGTCAAAAGCAACACAAAGCCATAAATAATGAGTCCAAGATGATTTCTCGATTTGGCCGATATGCGCAGCGTCATTTTGTGGGCGTGGTTCTGGTTCTTGTTGCTGTCGCTGCAATTGATTTCTCACGTTCCTTTAAAGCAATTGTTTTGCGGTGGTTTACGTTACTTTTTTTTCACTTGATTATATTGGTTCTCGTTTCTGTTTTTTGGTTTTTGGTTTTTGGTTCTTGGTTTCGATTTTAGTTTTCACCCTTTGGCTATAAAATTGAATTATATTTTTGTTTACTTTTGCTGGCCGATTTGTTGCACGTTTGCTTTTCTCTGGCTTTTGTTTATTTTAAGTATTTTTTATGTACTTTTTTTTACCTTTCAAAGTTTGTTGCTGCTGTTGATTTTGAGCCTTGGGTAATTATTTTGTTAGAGCTGTAAATAGGCAGAAGAGAAATTGAAATATTGTTTAATGACGATTTATTATATTTTATTAAAGCAAGAAATTATCCGGCGTTACCAGGCTCAAATGGATAGGGCAGAAATATAAACAGATAGGAAATGCATAAATATATTGAAAACTGCTGCTCGATTTGAACCGGCGTCCTCCAGTTCGACGCTCAAACAACAAAAAAAATACCTAGAAGTTTGAATTTCAGGCTAACACCGTTTTGGCTTAAACCTGTTTGCAGCCTGGCCGTCAATAAATAATATTGCAAACTGCAAATGCAGCAACAAAAACTTGTTTCCAACTGCGCCTGTCCTTTTAGAGCTGCGGCTGGCAAAATTAACCAAAAGATGTCAAGTTGAAGCAGCAGGGAACATAAACATAACACACACACACGCACACACACACAGAGAGGGCGCCACATGCATGTGTGTGTGTGTGTATAAAGAGGATGAGGGGGGTATAAAAGTTATATGTGCAAAATGAGTTTGGCTTTTTTATAACAAGAACTCGGCGCACTCGGAAGTCTGACAACATAAAATGAAGTGAAATCTCTGCTGGTGGTGCCCAGTGAACTGTTTGTGGGCAGCGCAGCGGGGTGAGGGAGGGAGCGTAGGGGCATGCAACTGTCGGTTGCAACAGCATAAAAGCAGCGTAGATGCGCCAACATAAAAGTGAAATTCGCAGCAACAGCAACAACAACGACAACATTTAACTGAGGGTTGCTCATTTAATGCGGCAACAGTTACAACATGTGGCAACAAATGGCGCCTGTTGTTGCTGTTGTTGCTGTTGTTGTTGTTGTTGTTGCTGCTGTTGTTGTTGTTGCTGCTGCTGTTTAAGCAACTTGGCGTGTTGCCTTTTGACTATAAAAACTGCAAACTGAGCAGTAAGCGCCTTAAAGCTGCCACTTTGATGCGCCATGCCACACACACAGCGGCAGCGTCAGCAACAAAACTTGGCTACAACACATGCCACACACACACACACACACACACACACACACACACGTGACGTAAATATTGTGGTTGCTTTTAAAAACTTTCGTTTTAATGTTTGCACAGCTACAAAACTGAAATGAAAGTTTTTGCCGCACCTTTTAATTCTCCGCACCGCCCCCTGCCAACCATTTGGGGCACGCTGTGCACATTGATACTGATACAACTGAGTCCCAGTTTGGGGCTCTATTTAATTATTAAAAATTTTCGACTCTCCACTTTTCACCTGAACTCGCAACGAGTTCAAGGCTCTCTCAACTCTTATCATGCTATACGCTACCCCGTCAACCCAGCCCGAAGTTTCTTTCTCTCTTTGCACATGTGCCCCAGTTTGTTGGCCAGCTTCAGCTTGGCCACTTTCTGTGTAGCCACATACATTTTCCAATTAAAGCACAGCTCGTCATTTCATTTTGCTGCACACAGCTCAAAAAAATGTGCAGCCAACTCCAGCAATAAATTAATTCAGAGATGATCTTTAACAATAAGTGAAGTGCTTGATTAGTATTCCTTTAAAGCTTTGTGTTTGAGAGTCAACATATTATAAGCAAGAAAACAGTGCAGGGACTGCTTAGGCAGACAACTAAACAACAAAATTAAGTTAAAATATTTACTGAAGCTTCCCTTTGAGTCGAAAGGGAGCTAGGGTTCTGAAAGAATCGAACTAAGGGTGGTAAGAAATGCTGAAATCATCAACAACAAAACAGGCATCACATATAATTGAGATGCGTATGGCTTTAAAAGCCATAGCTTCGGACCAGCAAGCGAGAAGTTGCTAGCTCTATTCATAGAGACGAATAAATCAGACCTTGATAGACTTTGCAATCTTTGAATTATGACAGCTTGTACAAACAAATGTGTTTTCCAAATCCCAGCATATCCTAATGTTAGACAAAATTCTTAATTTTATTCGATTATTATTTAAAATACTAAATTTACAACTTTCTTGCTTTTTTAGAACTTTTTTTTGACTTCAAAATGTATACTTAATATGCGCAAGTCGCATTCAATTCATTCCAGAGATAGAAAATTTGGTTAATGGACTTACAAATTTGAGAAATTGCATTCTGTTACGAATTGAATCTTTTTGGAAACA